GTTTTGTCCATCCCTATTTCATCGCTACATGAAAAAGTAAGTATTCACTAATTGCTAGTGGTATACTTATCACTGCGGCAAATAGTTAATATGCACTGTCAATAAGTGAAAATCCACTGTTTCATTTTTAGAGAGTACATACATAAAATATTTATTAAAAAAATCTACTTACTGAGATATTACACTTCACGGTGGATAGGTTTTTAAATAGCAAATTAATGAACTTAAACTTTTGAATTATAAAACAGCAACACTCTCATCTGCATATAAATTCTAACTGACCTTCAGGAATCACATGCATCTATAATGTCGTAAACAGAGGTTTTTGCTTATTTAAAATGATTAAAGCGCCATCCGCTGCATAAAATTTAAAGCAAAAACAGATTCACGGAAAATAGAATCAATTTTTACACCTAAATAAATGGATATAAAAATTATTTCTTTTAATTTTTAATAATATTTTATATTTGATTCGATTGCTTTGGATGTGTTTAATTTAATTAGTGAACTGATATTTTTAATATGCTTTTACTACCTCAGATATTTGAAAACATATAGGTTAACCTAGAAAGAGTAACAGTCACGGAGGATAGGTTTTAGACTTTTAAAACATTGTAAAAAATAATTAATTGCGGTTAAAAATCTGGAACCTGAGCTGTAATATCTACTTAATTATGAAAGATCAAAACACAATAAAAGTGTAGGTCAAACTCATTTAGTTTTATTAAATATCACAGTACTAGTTTTATAATGGTCATATAAGGTTACTGTAAACTCTAAGTATATAATTAGGTTATATGCGTAACTTAAAATGAAAAAGAATATTTTTAATTAAAAGTCAAGAATTTTTGCGTTTTTATAAAACGTTATTTACATTTAAAAAAATAATAAATATTTTAATAATTTTTGCATCAAGGTAGGAGCGAAAAAATTGTCCACCGAATTTCTCATTTTATGCCACTGTGCACTGACCGCTCCCATAATGTGGATTAATCGGCGTGCGCGATCCATATTAGATGCAATTGCATCTAGAATCCTAATGCACGTCCACCGAACCGAATGCTCTTCAAACTACGGACTTTGTATTATACAACAACAACACGACGGAAAAAAACATCCCCCAAATGCACACGAACAATATTCATCACGTACTTCCAACCAAATTAACTTTTTCCCAACACCGTCAATGATAGTTCCCATTCACTGTACAGACACGCTTTTTAAAAGCATTAAAACCACAAATTTTATAGCTGGCGTTTGATATTTCGACAGATGACAGATAGTTTTGACGTTGTCATCACTTAACTGTCAGATTTGACGTTTATTTAATATTTTGACAGATGACAGATAATGTTGAGGTTATGTTTGATACTTTATAATTAGATTTGACGTTTAAAACGTCACGTTCTGGAGTTTACGCCAATTATATTTAACACGTTTCATATTTCAAGTGAGCGTTATAATTTTGATTATTAGTCATTCCAAATTCGCAATCGAATAAATCTGGTAATTACCGGTTCAAAGGGGTTTGGAAATTCAATATGGATGAAAAACTTCACCGTTTCAAGCAATTTTGTGCAGCTTAGAGGTTTTAATTATTAAACAATTTTTTGCAAAAAATACTTTTTAAATGCCCGTATACACTTATCTCAGAAACTACTGGATTCCCTACACTTTTTAAGTGATTAGATTAAAGATTAAACAAATTTTCTTTAAATGTGGACGGTTGGTAAAAGTTAAAAATAATCAAGTAAAAATTATTATTTTTTATCTTGGAAAGTATAGTTCTTTTTTTTCAATGAAACACCCTAAATATTTTTATATATTTTGATAGAAAAAATAATTTCCTTTCTTTTGTGATTACAAATTACAAAATGTTGTATTGTATTGCAATTGTAATACCCATTTGTTGTAATAATACATTTTGTTTTTGTCAGATACTTATAGTAATTTTACAATTCTGTATTGTGGAATTGAATTTGACATTTTGTAAAGTCTCTATACATATTCGGAATTTAATTTTACTAAGATAATCAATAAAATTACTAACCAAAATTTGCTATTTAAATTACAATAAGTGTTTGGAAATATACAAATCATTATTTATTTTATACAACTTCTGTTTGCATTTTTACTATATATCAGTTTAATCATGTACACTGTTAAATTTTTTTGTAAAATTACAATTGTTTTGCAAAACAAAGGATAAGTAAAATTACAAATCAGTGTATGCCAATACAAAATTATAATACAATTTGAGTAATCTTCCAAGACATGTTGGGAAATCTACTAAGTTGTAATTATACAATCTATATGTATAAATCCTACACGCATTGTAATTTTACTAAACAGTTTGACAGTTTCTAATAAAAAGCATCTCAGATTTACAAACGTTGTTTGTAATTTGATTTGATATAATGTTATGTATAATGCATAGTATGTACCGATTGCGGCAATCACGTGATGTTCTTACATCTCGCCTCGGTTGACTTGGGTGGAAAGTATATAAGCTCAGGTGTCTTTCGTTTTTGGTGTGTTCCAACACCAAATTGCCCGTCATTGTAGATACCCAAAAAACATGTTTAGTAAAATTACAATAGAAATTTTTAACCATAGTTAAATTTGTAGTTTAGTGTCAATAAATAAGTATTAAGTTTAGGTAATTTTCGGATTAAAACAAATCTATAATTTTTTTATTAAAAAACCCACAATTTTTATTTAGGTATTACTTTTTATACTGTTAAAAAACAATTTATTTCGTATTTAGACTTTATATTACATTTACCTTTAACTAAACGAATTTTATTTTTCAAACAAGCATTTTATGAATTTTTTTTTCGTGTAACGCATAATAAAAAGTTTTTAATATTGGCAACCCGATCCGCAGAAACACTGTACTTTGAATATCAAATTACATATTTTATTACAATTTCATTTACGTCATATAATTTAGTCTTTATAAAGTAAACTCAATAATTTTTAATAAACCTGTTTTAATTAATAGTTCCAAAAGTACCTTCCAATATTAATTAGTTGGTTTAAAAACGACTTTATAAAAAAAATAATAAAGAAGTTTGCAGTACTCAAAAAACGTTAATTGATTATTTGAAACTAGTTTGTAGAAACCAGCAAATATTAAATGTTTTAACAAAGATAAGATAAAATCAATAGACATACATAATTATACAATTCGTATTGTTTTTAATAGTATATTTAAAGTTGAAAACAGTGTTTAATGTAAAAATTCACATAATCTATAAAGGTGCTGAAACATTTTAAAAGTAAACAAAAATATTTGACGAAATAAAATCTTAATGCATTTTTCGACAGCTTTGCAACATGGCCCCAAAACTCATCCATCAAACGAGTACAATAACCCTTTTACACTGTTGGCGCAAAAAATCAATTGATCGGTGGTATGCAAATGATAAAAGGCGAAAAAAAAGTATGTAAATATTTGCTCAAGGTGCATATCAACCTTTAGGTAACCTCGCCAATGTTTGTTTTGTTATAGAGATGCAAAAAATTTAACTAATTTGTTTAAAGTTACTAATTAGGTTTTTAATGACATTTTTAAATACTTTATAAAATTATGAGTAAAATTACATTTTCTCTTATTTATTAAATATAAATCTTTTTCTCAAACACATCATTAAACGCGGAAAAGCCTAAATAAACTTTTTATAAACGTAAAAGTATACTTTTTTAATAATAATAAAATGTTATTTCACAATAACATCAGGGTATATTTCTGTACTCAGAAAGCTTACTATTTGCTTGTTAAAAAAGATTATAATATAATATATTTTATATAAAATATAAATATAAAAATAATGTGTAAACCCTTGGCATTTCTATGTTACATACATATGTATACAGGGTGAATCATTTAATTAAGGGGGTAACTTTAAAATTTCCAATGGAACACCCTATTTTTTATTGCAGATTCGGATCATTCGACTAAAAATATGTAGATTTTGTCCAAAACATTTTTTCATTTTTGTTATAATAATTTGTAATAATTTGTAATAATTTTTCTTCTGCATACGATTCTCCAATAATTGTTGAATAAAATACTTGATTTTATTTTTTAAATTTATTTATTCATTTCGTTTTAATATTCTGCTAACACTGCTCTGGGATATTCCCAAATCTCTAGATAATTCTCGTGTGCTTGCAAGAGGATTAGCGGCCGTTGCTGCTAATACATTCATTTCATTATTTCCACCTGTGACTGTTGCTCGACGAACTCTTTTTTTCGGTTGAACACTCCCGTTTGTAGTAAACTGCTTGACTGTACGGTGAAATGAAGTACGTGATCGAATTTTTTCCGGAAAACGCTGAGCGTAGATATTAACAGCATCATCAAGATTCCTGCCTGCTTCTCTATAAATCAAAATCATTTCTATTTTTTCTTCCACTGTTAAAAAATCCATTATGAATAACTGCTCAACGAAAGGAGGTCTTTTTGTTTGCAAATTAATCTTCGAACTAAATTGATTAAATAATGCTAAACTATGTATAAATAATTTCTTAATACTTCAATAATAATTATTATTTATAACTAAATACCATTTTTTATACCTCAATTAGGATTAAATTAATTAATTGACAAAATAATATTTTTTACCTTAAATGATGTATTTTTATTAAAAATAGTACAATAATCCTTCAAATTGCAATTGATAATTATCACCGAATGAAATAATGTATAAAACTTAAACCAAAGGAAACTTAAATATTAAAAATGGTGGGTACTTAAAAAAAGCAGATTTAATTTAATAAGATAATTATTACAAAAAAAGTGATATTTTTATAGAAAAATTATTGCCGAATCGTATAAGAAAAATCGAACAATATTGATTTTTTTTCATTACAGCGCCACCTAAGTATTACAAATATGAAAACATGTTTTAGACAAAATCTTTTAAATGACTTACCCTGTATATAAATATAATTTCACATTTCTGTAGTGTTGATTAAAAAAATATTATACTTACATGAGGTACTGTAAAACTGTTGTATTCTCTATGATTGAGTGATTCAGCCTGTTTATTTTTGAAGGCCTTGTAATTTTCTTTAAGCTGTTTTCCATACTGAAAAAAAAATATTGTCAAAAATATAATATGAAAATGAAGCAATATTAAGAAAATTGATTGCAACAAATATAAAACTCGATAATTTCCAAACGACTGCTTTTATAATTTAACTTTTTTACAATTATATTTGTTGCAAAAAGAAAGCTAAAAATTTTACGTCGCTTTTAAATTATTTTACAGACAATTAAATTTAATTTAAAACTCGCTTGTCAGGACGTTGAACGAAAACTACTTTGTTCGCAAAATTGAAAAGATGAAAGATATAACTATAGTTGCAATGATTGTAGAAATTTTTCTTTGTAAAGCGAACTCGAACGTCACAAAGTAACAAAGATTAAGCAAGTATTGAATTTTTAACAGGTTCTGAGTTTTATTAATCCTAAAAATTTAAACATTTTATATTTTTTAAAACGTTTGTTTTTTTTTAGGTTATTTAATAAAATAGGAATAGGAGGTATTATTTTGCACAGGCATTTCAGGGACACATTGTATATAGAACTGTCATTCCATATTTACAAGAAAATTGGTCGGTGGTTCCCCCCTTTCAATTAAAATCGCTTTATGGTCTTTGGTCTACAGTGATAAAATCCAAGACAAAACCAATTCAAATTGTATTTGCCAAATTTACTTATATTTTTATTTAAAATAAAGATTGACTGGGTACATTTTGTTTTAGCAACATAGAAATATGAAAAAAAATCTTATACAAATTACCGAGCAATCAATCACAAAAGAGGTTTCTTTAAAATAAAGACGTTTTTGGTGAATGCATTTTTTAATGCAAGAGAAATTCACAATTAATATGAACCTTTGGGCTCTCAAGAGGTTTACAAAATGCTCTTTCTAAAAAGTTCAAAAACATTATACTTTTCTGTAAAAAGTCAAGATTAAATATATAAATAATTTTAAAACATATATCGACCGCCTTAATTACATGAAATCCTAAATAATTATATTTAAAATATTACTCAAAAAACTAACTCATTCAATAAAAACTTAATAACCAAAAAAAGTCAAAAATGTTTAAAATAACTTTACAAGCTCACTTAAAATTAGTCTAGAATGGGGTTTTTGGGAAGCCACCAGGTCTAGTAATAACATAACATAAGTGGTTCTGCACTAATGCAAGAATTTAAAGAAATCATACATTTCGAATACTAGAGATTCACGGAAGATAGCTTCACGGAGGTTAGGATTTCGTATGTTTTTTTAAACATCCCTTTGTATATTTGAAATAAGTTATTGTATCTTTTGACACCTTAATATTTTTTAAATACAATTGTACATACATAAAATATTTATAAAAAAATCTTCTTACTGAGATTTTTCACTTCACGGTGGATAGGTTTATAAATAGCAAAATAATGAACTTAAACTTTTGAATTATAAAACAGCAACACTCTCATCTGCATATAAATTTTAACTGACCTTTAGGAATCGCATGCATCTATAATGTCGTAAACAGAGGTTTTTGCTTATTTAAAATGATAAAAGCGCCATCCGTTGCATAAAATTTAAAGCAAAAACAGATTCACGGAGGATAGAATCAATTTTTGTAACACCTACATAAATGGCTATAAAAATTATTTCTTTTAATTTTTAATAATATTTTATATTTGATTCGATTGCTTTGGATGTGTTTAATTTACTTAGTGAACTTATATTTTTAGTACCTATGCTTTTACTACCTCAGATATTTGAAAACATATAGGTTAACCTAGATAGAGTAACAGTCACGGAGGATAGGTTTTGGACTTTTAAAACCTTGTAAAAAATAATTAATTGTGGTTAAAAAGTTTAGTTTTATTAAAAATAACGGGGTTACACCATCGGGGGACATTTCGTGAGATTCACCCATTTGTTCCATTGCCGGTCACTGTATTTATTCTCATTGAAAACTTGGGTTGTGTGTGACCCTTTTTCCAACAGGCTTTCGTTAAATTTACGGCCACAATTAAATAGAAGCCATAAAGTTGTGAACTAAGAGGACAAACATTTAACAGGCGGCCGTAAATAATTTTGCAATAAAAATCGACGTTCGATAATTTATAGTTATTGTTAATAAAGTAGTAAAGTGAAACTGGGTCGTGGGGCAAAAATAAAAATTTTCGACATCATAAAAACCCAAGTCGTCGCCGGTTTTGCATTTATCGAAAACTACTTCGGCAAGTACATAAATAAAATGGAATATGATCCCCTCTTTTTATTTTATTTTATGTGTCTTCTTCGGTAAAGTATCTTAATCAACGTGGATTTTGAATAATAAAACCTGAGAAAGTTTTTCTCTTATTGCATGAGTTTTCCTTAAAATATGTACAGGGTGTTTTGTATTTTTCTCGCATAACTTTATCAAGCACCGTTGGAAAATAATATAAAAAATATTCGTTTTTTTTTGGTTTCTTTACTCATAAATCCTTTGCAGTTGGACAAGGTTGCAGAATGGTTGGTGGAGCTCAGTGGAGAGTCATTAATTCGCGATTTTCGACAGGCAATTAAAAACGTTTCAAGGGGATTTCACGTCCAAAAATAGACACTACACCGAATTCAGTTCGTCAAACAGAAAAAGCGTAGCACTAAAAAACGAGTTCGATGGCTAAGCCAATACCGACTGTTGCTAAGCGCACACGTTGCCAGATTTTGGCAGGTTTATGTTCAACATCATGAAATACCCCAAGTTTAACCAAGATTAACGTTAAATTTACGGCATGCCTGTTTAATTCATTTAAGTTACGAGGTGTGTTCAGAAAATAACGGGAATTGTTAAATTTCGCGGGTTCGGAGGGTCCGGTTGTCATAAAATTTTCTTTATTATGTTGGTATACATGCCCCCGAAGTATGATAAAAACTTTAGCTGTTCTCATTGTTTACTTTGTCTGTGGCAGCCGCTAAGGTTAGACGTGTTTTATGAGCTAGGCGATTTTTCGTTCGTTAAAAGAAATGGATCAAAGAATTTGTATCCAATTTTGCTTAAAAAATTAAATAAATTCTGTGCAATGTTAACAAAGGCCTTTAGTAAGTCTGCTATAAGTAAAACAAGAGTTTACAAGTGGTATAAGAGTTTCCAAGATGGCCGTGAAGACGTTAAAGATGACGAACGCCCCGAACGCACAAGCACAATAACAACCGATAAAAACATGGAAAAAGTGGAAGAAATGGTTATAAACCATCAGAGAAGTCGCTGATGATGTTGGTATATCGATTGGCTCATCCCATGAAATTTTTTCGAATTTTTTGGGTATGAAGCGCGTGGCAGCAAAATTTGTTCTAAAATTGTTAAATTTTGAACAAAATTTTTGGCCAAAAACAATACTGTAATGATGCCCCAGCCTCCATATTCGCCAGACATGCCTCTGTCTGACTTTTTCCTATTCCCAAAAATAAAGAGAACCTTAAAGGGCCGTCGTTTTGCATGCATAAATGACATTAAAAGCGCATCGCTGAAAGAACTAAAGGCTATCCCAAAGATCGAGTTTTAGAAGTGTTTCGAGTATTGGAAGAAGAGCTGGCACATGTGCATAATATCCAATGGGGACTATTTTGAAGGCGACAACATTAATGTAGACGAATAAATAAATATTTGTTTCAAAAAACTAAAATTCCCGATATTTGCTGAACACACCTCGTATATTGTAAAACAACGTTAAATTAACCTTAAATTGACGTTTAAGGTAAAATTAACGTTATGTTAAAGTTAAATTTAACTTTTTGGTTAAAAAGAAGGTAATATTTGGTACTAAGGACAATTATGTTTAAAAAAAATTGTGTTACTACTATAATATGTTATGTAAACATAAGCTTTTTTACCCGTCACCTTCCTTTTGCTTAGAAAAGGCAATACTACTAAATTCTCAGTTGAGCAGAGAAAAAAATGATTGCAATAAACCTTTACCATTGTAAGAACACAATGCAGCATATTTCTACGAATTCCAATAAATAACAACACGTATCATAGGAAACATCCTTCTGGAAAATATCAAGATATTCCATCATGACAGGAGAAAGGAAAAAAGACGTAGAAACCAACAATAGACATCGGACCCTTAACAAAAACTAAAAGAGTCCGTGTATGTACGTTGGAAATCCGACACCCGCGTCATATTGAATTCGGGAAAAGTTTTCCTTCATTCGATCTTTGCAATATTGTATTTATTGGTGTTCGCTGTGAAATTTCATATTTTCCACATTTTATTTGTGTACCTGTAGGTATCCTGCAAGTGTATTTTTCCATATCAGATTTATATTCTGTTCCTAGGAAATTTAATAAAGTCGTTTGGATACGGAAGATTTAGCATAGGCATGGTTTAAGTTTTACATAACGTTTTATACGATGTCTATTTAAAAGATATATCAGAAATTTCTTAAAACTGTTTCTAGGATATTTGGGTGGAATCAGTATTACCATAAAAATTACCCCAACTCATTTGTCTTAAATGAAAACATACTTTTGCCCCCATTAATTTTCAGCTCTTTAGCAGTGGTAAATTTCCTTCGAACATTGTGAAACGTTTGTAGTGGAATAGCTCGGCATTCTTAAACTATTCGTTTTCGCAAATTTCAATAGAATGAGGCTTGCATACCACAGATTTTAAGTGATCTCGTAAGAAAGTCTTATGGTTTCGCACGTTGGGCCAAAAAAAATATTCGTTTTCGCAAATTTCAATAGAATGAGGCTTGCATACCACAGATTTTAAGTGATCTCGTAAGAAAAAGTCTAATGGTTTCGCACGTTGGGTCAAAAAAAATATTCATCTCGCACAATGGGACAAAACATAAAATGAGCGGGCACAAAAACACAGTGGGGTAAAACAAAAAATGAGAAGGACAAAAAACACAGTGGGGTAAAACAAAAATTAGGAAGGATAAAAAACACAGTGGGAAAAAATAAAAAAATTGAAAATGCGGTACTCACTTTGGCGAGCCGCATGGCGGTCAGCCAGCAGGACCGGACCCGTTCCGAGTCGCAGGCGAAGCAGCGCAGCTCCTGCGACGAGTGCAGGTTGGCTGAGCCGCCCGCGGGGTCTCCCGCCGCGTCGTGGGACGTTGTGGAGGTGTTTTCTTGGAGGCAGGCGGGGCGCAGCACCACTCCCCACTCGGTCGGAGCGCGGAACTGATTTTTCGCGTTCAGAGTCACGTAGATGTAGTGCGTGGACAGGTCGCAGAACAAGTTCAGTCCTTGTTGCTCGGCGTATTGCTGGAACAAGAAAAATTGTTTTTAGTTTTTAGCCACACAAGTAGGGTTCAAATGAAAATTTCAACTTTGCCTGTGAAAGTTTCAGAAATTTCATTGAAAGTTTCGCAATTTACTGAAAATTTCGCATAAATTTCACATGCGGCCTCCCCTGGGACCTTTAATAATAATTTACAACAGATTCCGAATCGACCAATAAGAACGAGTTATCAAGCGTCTGGGCGTTTTTGTTTAGTTCGGCTTGGATTTGAATACACTATAAGTAATTATTGTTACTTATATGCATAAATTAATTTAAATAATTTAATTCAGTTACCAATTTAATTTGTAAATTAAATCAGACTTTAATTTTTTTTTTAAAGTCATGATTAATTTAAACTTTTACTTTTGCTATAATTGCATCGGAAAACGGATTTAAAATGCTTTTGGCTCATAAAATTTTGATGAAGTTTCTTCAATTTTCGTAAAATTTCAGTAAAATATTTAAAAATAATAAATATATATAAATATAAAACAATGAAAGTGGCACAATCTCATTAGCTTACCAAAAAGTGCTATATCTCTTTTAGTTTTAGTAATTTTAAAAATATTTTAAAAGGAAATCTCAAGAAATTTGTGGTAAACATAGGTATTTACTATTTATATTATTGGTGCAGCGGCCCACAGAGGGGTAGGAGGTAAGAGAGGCAATTTGCCATGGTCCCCGAGTGGGCTTATTTCAATATTAATATATTACACTTAAAGTGATTGAAATAAATTTCATAAATTTCTTGAAATTTCAGAAATTTACTAAATTTTAATAAATTTCATAAATGTCAGAAAATTTCAAGCGTAATTTCAATTACAAGCAAAAAGTGAAATTTTCCCAACCCTACACACAAGCAGTTTACACTGTTATAAGTTTCGGTGCTGTAATGAGATACTTTATCCCACCCGCAATTTTGACTTTATAGGTTGGATATACTTTAAATTTTTCTAGTACTTACGAGACTTTTCTGGCAATAAATATTGTTTAACACCAAAGAAAATCCTTTTTTTCTTTAACAGCCGCTTATTGTAAACAAGTAAATTAAGGACGGCATGGCGAATCGATTTTGACATTAACTGTCAAACCAATGACTGTGATACCAACTATCCAAAGTAAAATTCGACCAAATTAAATTAAAGGTATATTTTTTATAGAATTTTTTCAAAATAGGTAAAATAGCATAAAGAACTCATGTCATAAGACCTTTTGTCGCACTCGTCCATTACAAAAATTGTCCGCGTGCGACAAAATGACGTCTTTTGACATTAGTTCTTTAATATAGGTACTAGTAAAATTTTAACATATTTTTTTGTAAAAAACAGGCACGGTAGGTTGAAAATAGGTTTAACCCAAATGTGCGAACACTAGACATTTTATTTCATCTTATGTTTCTAGAAAGTCAACCTATCATTTTGAGCCCAAAATTAAATTAGGTTTATTTTTTTTACATATTTTTGGGTATTTTTTTTGTTTCTTCATAAAATTTTAGTATATTTTATTTTAATAATTTTTTTTTATTTATTAACATAAAATTATAAAAGTTGATATTTTTTATTATTAATTTTAAACTTGTTTTTAATAAACTGTAAGGGTCCTGTAGTATATAAACTTCTAAATTCAAATTTGGCGCTATTTTTACCAAGGAAAATTTAAATAATACACTAGAAATAATATTATAGTTTAAGTTATTTTATGTTTTAAAATCATATTGAGTTTTAATATTTCACTTCTTTGTATCTGAACGTAGAAATATTGGGGTGATATGTTTATATTAGACATTCTTGCTTAAGTGGCCGAGATGTTTAAAAGCTTGATTAGGAAATAGAATACACACAGAGGGTTTTTGCTCGCCCTTCGAGATACTTCTGTTAAACCGTTTGTGAAATATATTATAATATAGTTATAGTTTTTGTGATTGTTACCGATTTTCTGCTATAATTATTAGGTATGTACACTTTTTCAAATTGTAATTTTTGCTAGTAATGATAAACAACTCCTCGTTTTGGGTTTTCTTAATACATTTTTGCTTATAATTTGCTTATAATTTTGAACAATATTATTTAATTCGCATTTTTGTCTATGACGTTTATCATTGCTAGTTTATTGGGTCCTAATCATTTTAATATGTGTAAATAGCGAGTGATTTTTGGTAATGATTTTTATTGTATCACTATTTCATTATTTTGGTTTAATATCTTGATATCGCGCATACACTGAGTTTTAATCTTTATGTTGTCGCATGTACACTGAATTACGTTTGACTTAAATTTTAATATTTTGTATTTTCTTTATTTTGAGTTACACTGGCCTTGATTTTGCTGTTTCCTTTTGTATAACTTTGTATGACTTTATTTAACTGAAATGTATTTTATTGTTTATGAAACTCAGTGTATCATCTCGGTATTAAGGTATTTATTTATTTTAACTCTTTGCATTTGTACTCAGGCTAAAGCTTTTAACAATAATATTATTTTTATAATATTGGTATTATTTGGGTAAGGTTTTATAAAATGTTATTATTATTATTATTATTATTATTATTATTGCTCTTATTATTATTATTAAATTTGATATTACCATTAGGTCATATCATGGTAAGGTAATAGTATCGTTTAACCTTTTGATAGATTCTGGATAGAGACTTTGATTTAAACTGCTTATCTTAGCGCTTTATTTGGAATATTTGATAATGGCTTTAACGTTACTATATATGATAAAAATCTCTTTATGTTATTATTCAGCGCGATACTTTCTGGTGGTTAGAGTTTTGGCCATGTTCAGGTGTTTCTTGTTATGACTCTCTCCTATTTATTATTTTATTGTATTTTATTTATATTTTATACCATTTTATTTTATTGCATATTGTTTATTTTATTTGTGTCTGTATTTGTACTTGTATTTTCGTTTGGAGAGTGCTCATACATGAATATTTGAACATGGGTAATATATTAGCATTATTTCAAAAGGATTTATCCTTAGAAGAAAAATAGTGTTTTTATGTTATTACCTATATAAACTCTGTGTGCAGAATTGTTTGTATATTTTTGCAATACTTTTGTCTTGTTCTGGACATTGATTTTGTAAGAATATTTGAACATATTGTGATATAGCGACACTTTAGTGAGATAGGACCACCATAGCTGTCGTTATATCACTTCGCAGAGTATGCAATTGTTCCATAGTGTGGTTATTGGCTACGGTTAAATATCTGCACTTGGTTAAAGCATATGAATTCTTTCTATCAGAAATATGTCGTTGCTGTAGTTTATTTATATAAAATCGTGTCCTCGTTCAATAGTTCGAAGATGCGTGGTAAGGTAATCAAATAAACAAACACTTCGTCATAAAATGACGATCTCTATTATAACTATTTTACCTGAGTACAAAATGTTTTGAATATTGATAAAAACACCCAAATTATATGAAATATGTTTATCTGCTTTTCATGTTATTTTATTCACTCATTATTTATACTGTATTCTTGTGATTGTGACCCATATAACTATGTTTTGTTTAATATTTTATATTTATTTGAACTGTGTAAGTCGCCAGGGTTTTTATGGTCCCTTTTCCCTGTGCTTTGACTCAACGGGCCACCCCTTTGTCTTTGCTTAAATTAAATCAGGGGTTTAAAAATTAAATGCTTGTGTTTCATTAAACCTGACCAATTTCAAAATAACGTTATTATCAATGTACTTAAATACACAACGTAGAGTCCTAATTTTTATAAAGTAAGTAAATTAACTAGACGATCACGAATATGCCAAAACAAGTATTTTAATATACTTAAAGAATCGGGTTACGAGAAAATACATACTGTACATTACATTTTGGTGCCGTGACCAGGATTACATTGATAATGGGGTTTGAAATTGGTCTGGGTGATGGATTTATTGCTTTCACACAGTGGGGTAAAATATTTCCTACGCATTTTTAAGTGTTGCTCTCGCACAGTGAGGTAAAATATTTCTTCTGCATTTCCAAGTGTTGTTTGCACAGTGGGGTAAATATTTTTTTGTATTTTATCTTTGTTTAGTTTTTTTTCTTTATTTCTTGTATTTAAGGGTTTGTTGTCATTTAATTCTATATATTGGATAAACTATTTTTTTAGCTCAAATATTCTGTGTGTATGCATAGTGGGATAAGTTTTTTTTCTTCTTTTGTACGTTTTTAACTTAAATACGTTGTTATTACCTTTTGGTACTGCTTAGTCTTCTTTGAAGTCAGTATTTGGTAATAGTAGTTGAATCTTCCTTGAAGCCAGCTGCTTATTTTAATTTGTGTTGTTTCTTTTAGTTTCAAAAATTTCTTCAACTATAAATGAATTTTCTTTGAAAGCTAGCTTCGAAACATTGTAAGAAGTAACGTACTAGAATACTGAAGCTGAATCACGTCTATGGTGGCAGCTAGGCAAAGTACTAAGGGGCGCAGCCAAGTGGAGTGCTAGGGGGCGCAGCTGAATCTTCTTTGAAGACGGTTGTTTTTGTTTAATTACGTTTGTAAATATTAGTTAAACATCTCTTGATGTAACTATTTTGGTTTTTTTTTAGTTAAACATCTGTTGATGTAACTATTTTCTTTTGTAACGTAGTGGAACATCTATTGATGTCACGCAAGGGTTGTGTTTGGGGTAAACGAACCTAATTTTATTTTACAGGCTTTAAAATACGTTTTTTTGGTTCCGTCCCTTTATTATTTTCCTTTCTGGTGTTACCTGGTGAATAGCTTGGTTTTTGTGAGCTGGATCTTCATGGACTGTGTTCTGCTATTCGTTGTGTCTTGAGAGACTTTGAAAAGTGCAAATTTACTTTTCAGAAGTGTATTGGGAACAGTTTTTTTGTATATTCAGAGCAGCTATTTACGGTCGATTACTTGTCTTCTATTACAGCAGGCCAATACAAGGTAGCCTATATTTTGGTTAAACAATTTTTTTTGGCCAGTATTTCCAAGTTTATTTCTAATTTTATTTCTTCAT